TCGTCATCCGCATCAGCATCAGCATCAGCATCATCATCAGCAGCAGCATCGTCATCATCAGCAGCATCAGCAGCAGCATCGTCATCATCATCATCATTATTACCACCAACATCATCGTCGTCACCCGCAACCGCAGACAGCAGCAGCAGCATCACCATTATCATCATCAGCGTCATCATCATCATCATCCTCATCAGCATCATCATCAGCAGCATACGCATCATCATCGTCATCACCATCATTCACATTAATGTAACTGTCACTATTGTTATCATCGGTTTGATCGTCGTCGTTGTCATCATCCCCAGCGCCATCGTCATCATCATCATCCTCATCAGCATCATCAGCATCATCATCAGCACCATCACCATCATCATCATCAGCAGCATCATCATTATCATCATCAGCATCGCAATCCTCATAAACAACAGCAACAACAACACCATCACCATCACCGTCACCATCATCACCATCACCACCAACATCACTATCATCATCATCATCATCATCATCATCATCATCATCATCATCATCATCATCATCATCATCATCATCAACATCAGCATCAGCATCAGCATCAGCATCAGCATCATCATCATCATCATCATCATCATCAGAGTCATCAGAGTCATCAGAGTCATCACCATCATCATCAGTAGCAGCATTATCATCACCATCATCATTATCATCATTATCATCATTATCATCCTTATCGAGCTCAGGGCACAGAAAACGCGTCAGAGCCGACTTCGAATATTCATGCAAAAACAAAATATCAGACGTTCGGAGGCCCGCGCGGACCTCCAAAAGATCATGCTCAAAGAATCGGTTGCCCCACCCGACAGGTTAGGCTGTTAGGACTAGAAGAAGATTCCCGACCCGCCGCGCGCGCCCTGAATGCCGCGGCCGCTCCGGGTAGTCCCTGGGTGTCCCGCCTCGCCCGCTGTGCATTCCGCGGGCATGCTCGCGTCGGCCCTCGCCCGCACGAGGTTGCTCAGCACGTTGGCTGGCCCGGGGCTCTTCTACAGTCAACCCGCATAATAAGGATGGGCGACCTTCCCAAGGGCACCCTGCCATCCTTGCACCTTCGACCTATCCTTGGCCACTTTCACTGGCCAACCGCGTTCGAAAACCGTTCACGTGGGCCTCCAAGGCCCTTGCATCCTTACCGCGCATCCTTATGATACTGGTTGACTGCAGGTCACCCGCGGGGCCATTCTGACCAACACCAAGGCCACCTTCGAAGTGAAAGCACCGCAACCATCCACTGCACGATCTGCTCCTCTCTGAATCTGCAGTGGCCCGCACTGGCGAGAGGCCCGGCCGAGCCACGTCGCGGCCCGGGCCGGAGCGGCTGCCCTTCTCCAGTGGGCGCGGCGCGTGGGCGCGAAGTCACCGGCGCCCTCTCGGGGCGCGAGACGCGAAGTTGGGCGGCCCAGGCTCGTCGGACAAGATCCTCTCGGTCGCAGCCCCGAGCGTGTCTCCTGAGGTCCAGCGCTGCGAAGAAGCTGCTGCATCAGGACAAATCGCATCTGGAGCCCTAGGCGCCATCTTCCCGCTGATATCTCTGTGAAGGCCCCGGGATCCGAAACAATATTAGATCGCCCGTTGTGACAAAAAGTTGCGACATCAGGATCTCAGGGTCAGCCGCTACCAGCTGCAAGCCTTTGCAGGGCCCGCTCTGGGCCCGGAAGCCCTGGTGGATGTCGGCTCTCCTGGCTCGGCCACGAGGCCACGTCCAGCAAGTCTTCGGCCCGAGGAGGGCTCGTGGAGGCGTGGGTGATGAGTACCGCCCTGCTCCTTTCGAGGACGTCCACTGAGGACGAATGGCCAATGCGCTGCCTGGCGCACAGCCGAGACGCGGGATGTGTACGATTGTGGATGGTTTCACCCTCTTACCAAGGCACCTCTTTCGTGTACGGTGTTTGGTCGCTTTCCCTCTCTCTCTCTCTCTCTCTCTCTCTCCCTTTTCTTCCTTACGAGGCGCAAAACAGAGCATAAACACAAAAAACAACTTTCAGAGCTCCGCGCGGATTCTGGCCCTCCCCCTGGCGGCGCCTCTGGCGCCGCCCCTTGCGCCAGAGGCGCGCCAGGGAGGGGGGACTCAGCGCAGATCCGAGAAGTCCGCGCGAAGCTTCGAAAGCGCATTTATTCTTAGTGATCCTCCGATTCTTAGGAGATGCCGCCTCAAGAGCAGCACATGGCCCCCCTGACGGCCGTCCCCTACCACTCGCAGCAGGTGGACCCCGTGGCGAGCATGGGGAGCGCGCCCAGCCTCAGCCAGGCGCTATGCTGCCTGTGTTGCTGGAACCCTCTCACCTGCGCGGGGGGCTGTGTCAAGGTGGACCAGAACGAGAGCAAGGCAGTGATGTATTGGGGGAGGTACTCGGGAACGTTGTCAGAACCAGGCATGCACTTCCTCAACCCTTGGGGGATACAATTGCGGTCTGTGAGCACGAAGTGCAACACCATGGAGCTTAAGGACATCAAGGTCGTGGATCAGAGGGGCAACCCCGTGATCATCAGCGGCGTCATCACATACAGGAACACTTCGGCGTTCAAGGCGTGCGTGGAAGTGGAGAACCCCTTTCAGTTCATCATGCAGCAGGGGACCACCGTCCTCAAGCAGGTGGCCAGCCGCTACCCGTACGGCGCGAACCCCGGCCAGCCCAGCCTCCAGTCCGAGTGCGCCGGCATCTCCTCAGAGTTGGTGCGCGCGCTCCAGGAGAAGACCGCCGTCGCGGGCACGCAGGTCCTGAGCTTCGAGCTGGTCGACCTGGCCTACGCTCCAGAGATCGCCCAGGCCATGCTCGTCAAGCAGCAGGCCGAGGCCCTGGTCGACGCACGCCGCCTTATCGTCGGCGCGGCCGTTGACATGGCGCAGACCGCGGTGGCCAACCTCGAGTCTGGGGGCGCAAGCCTCAGCACCGAGGCGAAGGAGCGCATCACGACCACGCTGCTGGCGGTGATCTGCTCGCACAGCCCCGCGACGCCCACGGTGCCCCTGTCGGGTTGAGCCGCGGGCTCGGCGCCCGATGTCTAGCCGCCTTCGGCCCACCCCGCCACCGCACGTGGGTCGGGGACAAACCCCTTGAGGGCCTCTTGGGATCTCTCGGGAGCCATTTTTGCGGGCCCCTTGGAGGCCTCTCGGGGGGCCGAGGACGCTACGCTCGATGCTTGTGGCACAGTGGCGGATTCGACGAGTCACGGCGGTAACAGATCCGAGGCGACAGATCGGCATGTTCCAAAAGTTCCCCACGCGACAGGGCGGGCGCCTGGTTTCTCTAAGAAGCCTGCACAGGGCGCCCTCTTTGAAGGCCAGCCACGTGAGGGCGTGGCCGGACCCAAGCCTGTGTTCCGACGCAGCCCCAGGGCTTAGCATTCGTGGTGCTACGGCGGCCGAGGGCAAAAGAAGTTGCAGGAGGGAGGGAGGAGGGAATCAGAGAGCAGGGAGCGGAGAGCAGGGATAGACGGGGGAGGACGAGGAGGAGGGAGATAGAGGAGGCATAAGAGGGGAAAGGAGGGGTGGGACGAGAAGGAGGATAGGCAGAAGGAAGGAGGGGATCGGATCGGATCGGCGCCGACTCGCCAGGATGGTTCCCTGACTCGCGCAGGCGCGCGTGCGGCGACGACTTGGCCATGGTGGTGCAGGACATCGAGACGGCGGCCCCCGTGCTGGAGCGCATCTTCGAGGAGTAAGAGGCCCCGTCGGGGCTCCGTTTACACCACGGCAAGGCCCTGCCGCCGCGGAACAAGTCCGGCAGCTGCTCGCGCGGGTCGTGCCGACGCTCGCGGAGTTCAGTAGGGGCAGCGGATTTTTCGCCATGGACAAGATTGACGCGACGCGGCAGATCATCCAGCAATGCTAAGCATGAGTATGCAACGCAGGGCCACGGCGAGTGGAAACGCACTCCTAAGCAGAGCTAAGACAAAGCGCGGTGTGACGATTCAAGCATAAATCAAGCGCAGAGGGCAAGTCACGAGCCTAAGCGGGGGGAGGCCAGCACAAGCGGAGGGGACGAAGGGAGAGATCCACGAGGGGAGGGATCATGCTGAAAGTCCCGAATTGGATGGACACGGTTGGGCAGGCTGCAGGAAGATGCAGCTAACAGTGGGCACATCGCAGCTAATGCCGGGCAAAGTGGACAATCCCATATGAGGGGACCCAGTGCGCATTGGGTCGGACCAATTTCAGCAGCACCCAGTCCGGTCAAGAGCCTTGTACAGCCAACGCAGACACGTTACAAACGGTACAGAAGAGAGCGAATTGGGAGCAGGGCGAGGACCTGACGGATGAGGCCCAACGGGGGCGACCCACGAGAGTGGCCAGGAGCGCAGAACGTGCACACGACAGAGCGAGTGACAGCAGAGCACTCAGCACGAGGGAGCCAGCCAAAGAAGGATCAAGATCAGGCCAGTGCGAGACAAGGACCTATACGGCCTGAGCGCTAGCCTCAGGGAAAAGTTCGGGACAGGCGTGTGATCGGCGAGAGAATCGTTCTTTTCAAGCGTCTTTCTCGCGCGGGAGCGCGAACTCTATCCAACACGGCCAGCACAGAAATACTCTGCACGTGTTGCACATGTTTCCACTGCGCCAGCGCTCGTCATGGATTACGCGCCCCCAGTATGCGCACGCTGGGGGCTTCATGGGAACGCACTGCAGGAAATGGACCCCCCCGCTGTTGGCACGAGTCACGGGACACTTCTGACCTGCGCATGTTTGGCAAGCGGGCGGACGAACCGAGGCAAAGTCGTCAAGACTAGTCTTTCCCATACCCTTCTGAGGAAGCTGGGTACAGCATGCGGCATTCAAAGCAGCGCGGGAGCCGCTCGTGCTCTGGCAAAGCTCCGAAGTGCACAGCGTCCTCGTATCCTTGCCCCGCCGCTACGGCCTGCAAGTAGGCGTTGATGTCCACGTCGTAAACCTCCCGATGAGTCGCACGTTGTCGCCCTGGCCCTGCGGCAGCCGCTGGGCCCGTGGCGGGGAAAGCAACTGAGCAATTGCCCTGGCACGAGACGATGCTTGTCATTTTTGCTCATCAGACGCGGGAAAGGGGAGAGCGAATGGGGGAGTCCCGCAGGGGCAGGCGCGGGGTCGGTGTACGACGCCGAGCAGAATTCTCTTCGGCTGTCCGGATGAGCGACGGAGAAGGCGACTAGGGGCGTCCCACGGGGGCAGGCGCGGGGACTGAAGCAGAAGCACTGAACGCATTAGCGGATGCCTCGCAGGAAGCACGCGATGGCGAAAAGCGCGCACAGCGGTTCAGACGGCGATTCACAACATGGCCGATTGCGTGGGGTGGCGCTGATTCGTTGAGAGCCTCTGCCGTGTAACCGAGGGAGCTTCCCGCATCGAAGATCCGAGGAGGTGGCGACAAAGAGCGCGACGAAGGCGAAGCAACTGCTGTGCCAAACTGAGGAACTTCCACTGCATCGCTGGTCACTGCCAAGGACGGAAAGTGGATTTGGACGGGCGCAAACGGAAGCGGCGGGAGCACTGGAATTCTTGGACGCGGCGCTGCATGACGTAGAATGCCAGGATCCGCCTCGAAATGCTCCCACAGGGCCACCCCGTAGTGGAGGCGGTGGCGGTGGGAGAGGTGGACCAGGAGGTGGTGGCGGCGGAAAGCAGCCACGGCGGCGGCGGGGAGGCAGTCTCCACCTCGCCCCGCGTGCGTGTCGCGGTCGCTCGCCCGTGCGAGCGACGCGCTGGGCCCGAGCCGTGTGAGTGAGCACGTGCGCGGAAAGGGGGCAACACGGTTGCGGCCGCAAGTCGAGTTTGGAAGGAGGGGGAGGGGAGAGGAGGAAGGAGGAAAGAGGAGTAGGGTGCACGTTTGGAGGTGCATCGACTTCTCCGGCCCGTCTTCATCGCACGGAATTCGTCGACCCGGGTCGAGCCGTGAGGGCCCCAGGGCCCAAAAGGAGTGCGAAAGTGCCCGTCGTGATTGCGCCACGACGACAAGATGTGAGGGCAGATCTCGTTTTCCCATTTCCCACTTCCCCCATACCCTTCGGACACCAACAGAGATCATTTGCCGCCGACATACATGACTGCACGTTTCAGAAAGCTGCCAGAGCACATGGAGTCGTCTGGATTGGGAAACGCTCGAAAATGTGTCGTGTGTTCCGACACGTGGCCGTGTGTTTTGGGGGAGAACTTGGACATGGAGTTTGCCTCGGTCGTGGAGTTCGCCCTGGGTTTACCCGGCTGTGCAGCGATCGTGGTTGCAGCGTGAAAGCACGTTGAAAAAGCAGCGCTGGGCGACTGCCCAGCAGATTTCCAAGAGGGCCTAAAAAGACGGCTCCGAGACAGCCCCAAGAGGGATCATTGTTCGACAGGCTTGCCCAGGGTTTGCCCTGGTACCGGGGCGCGCGGAGCCCCCTCCAGGGGCCCGCGAGGAAGGGCGCAAGAGCGCCCGCTGTCCGACCAGTTCGCAGCAGGTTTGCCGCGGTGCTGGGGCGTCTGAAGATTTCCCAGGGACTCAACAGAGACCCGAGACAGCCCCAAGGCGCGCCCAAGATGGCCTCCAAGGTACCAAGGGCCTTTAACGGCCCAAGGGCGCCCCCAAGACGGCCCAAAAGACCCCGAAGACGGCTCAGGAAAGCCGCTGGGGGCAGCCTAGAAGGCTCCAAAGGGCACGTTGTTCGACCAGTTTGCCGTGGGTGTTCCGGGTGCTGGGGCGCCTGAAGTGTTTCCAGAGACCGAGGAGAGGACCCAATTCAGCCCGAAGAGACGCCCGAGACGGCCCCCAGACCACAAGAGCGTCCCCAGACTGCCAAAATGAGCCCCAGTAGTCTCCCAGAGCACGTCCAAGACGACTTTCAGGGACCCCTGGCCGCCCAAGAGCGCCGCCAGACGGCCCAAGAGCGCCGCCAGACGGCCCTTTAAAGCTCAAGGACGGCCCAAGAGGGTCCCAGGAGGCCTTCGATAAGGCCCATGGCTCATTGTTCGACCAGTTTGCCAAAGGTTTGCTCTGGTGCCGGGGCGCACGGAGCTCCCCCAGAGGGCCAAGAGGGCCTCACGAGGCAGCGAGGAAGGCCCAATAGCGCCCGTTGTTCGACCAGTTTGCAGCAGGTTTGCCGCAGTACCGGGGGGCGTCTGAAGATTTCCCAGGGACCCGCAGAGACCCAAGACAGCCCCAAAACACGCCTAAGATGGCCTCCAAGGCACCATGGGCCCAAAGACAGCCCAAAGGAACCCAATAACGGTGGGGCAGTTGAGAATGCCCAAAAGGGCACGTGATTCACGCTTGCCGCGGGTGTGCCGGGTGATGGGGCGCCTGAAGTGCAGCCCCAGTGCAGCCCGAAGAGACGGCCAAGACGATTCGCAAACTTTCAGAGCGACAACCAAGAAGGGCTCCACTAGCCCCCCAGAGGACGGACGTTCAAGACGGCTTCCAAGAGCCCCTGGCGGCCCAAGAGCGCCGCAAGATGGCCCGAGAACCCCGGGCCAAGAGGGCCCCAGGAGGCGGCGAAGAATGCCCAAGCGCCCGCTGTCCG